CCTGAAATGTTTAGAAATGTTTTGTATACAATGTGATATCAACATGGTAATGGGATCCTTTGGGAAAAATAAATAAAATCACTGATGTTGCTGCCTAGTTTGGGTAATGAAACGCCTGCAAACAAACACGCTCAGAGATCACAAAGGACCCCTCATTTCAACCCTGAGCTACAAACATTCCCTTTTATTAATAAATAGCAACATAGCAATAGCAATGAGCCGTGGTGTAGGTGGTGGTGGTTAGAATGCAGTATTGCAGGCTACTTCTGCTGATTGCCAGCAGTTTGGCAATTTGATTCTCATAGGGTCAAGGTTGACTCAGCTTTCTATCCTTCCGAGGTCAGTAAAATCAGGACCCAGATTGTTGGCTGCAATATGCTGACAGTGTAAAACTGCTCAGAGAGGGTTGTAAAGCACTGTGAAGTGGTATGTATATAAGTCTAAGTGCTCTTGCTCTGTAGAATAGAATAGAGCTGAAAGGGACCTTGGAGGTCTTCTAGTCCAGTCCCCTGCTGAAGCAGGAGTCCCTATACCATTTTAGAAAAGTGGCCCTCCAGTCTTTTCTTAAAAACCTCCAGTGTTGAAGTACCCACAACTTCTGAAGGCAAGCTGTTCTACTGGTTAATTATTCTCACTGTTAGGAAGTTTCTCCTTAATTCCAGATTGCATCTCTCCTTGATTAGTTTCCCTCCATTGTTTCTTGTCCTGCCCTCTACTACTTTGGAAGATAAGTTGACCCCCTCCTCTTTGTGGCAGCCCCTCAAATACTAGAATACTGCTGTCATGTTACTTCTAGTGCTTCTTTTCTCTAGACTAGCCAAACCCAGCATTCTTCATATGTTTTAGTCTCTAGGCCTTTAATCATCTTAGTTGCTTTACTCTGTACTTTTTCCAAAGTTTCAGTGTCGTTTTTGTTGTGTGGTGACCAAAATTGGATGCAGTATTCCAAGTGTGGCCTTACTAAGGCCTTATAAAGCGATACTAATACTTCGTGTAATTTTGATTCTATGCCTTTTTTTATACAACCGAGGATTGTATTAGCTTTTTTGTCTGCTGCTGCACGCTGCTGGCTCATGTTTAAGTGATCATCCACTAGGACTCCAAGATCCCTTTCACAGTTACTGTTTTTGAGCCAGGTTTCTTGTGATTCAGTTTGCAAATTGGATGGTGTTTATATGTTGTAAGTTTAAAACAGCTGAAAGTTGATTGAGCAACAACCTGGAAATCTTCTAGGAGCAGTGGTTATGTGGAGAAATGACTTTGTAGCCAGGAAATCTCTTCCAATAACATTGTTGACAGTGTATAGACAGTGTTGATATGATTACTTGGTCTTCTGGCAGATATCAAGAGAAGCTGTATGAAGAATGGTTCCAGACTGTCTCTGTGAAAGCTCAGTATAATCTCACTCAACCACTTATCCAACGAGATCCGGAGAGTAAACTGATTACTGTCAATTTTGACCCTCAGGTAAGATGAAACAATATTGATCTTCTGCAAGACTTCTCCTTCCTCTTTTTCGCAGAAACAGGTGAGGTTTTGCAAAGTGAGGAATTTTCTAAGTTAGAAGTGGAGCCAAGAATGGTTCATTCTCTGCTATTGCTCAAGGAGATGGAGAATTTGTTGTTGTTAGTTGCAAAGTTGTATCTCACCCATTGCGACTCCATGCACAATGTTTCTCCAGGCCTTCCTGTCTTCTACCATCCTCTGGAGTCCTTTTAAGCTCATGCCTACTGCTTCAGTGACTCCATCCAGCCACTTCATTCTCTGTCATCCCTTTCTTCTTTTGCCCTCAATCTTTCCCAGCATTAGGCTCTCCTTCAGTGAGTCCTTCCTTCTCATTAGATGACCAAAATATTTAAGTTTCATTTTCAGGATTTGGCCTTCTAAAGAGCAGTCAGGATAGACAGAGAATTACATGGCTAAAAAAAATATCCAATAGAATAGCAGCATCTTGAGATCTGATGATTTGCACCATGCCATTCAGTTGAGCTCGAATGTACTGTACTTCACATATCCCAAATTAAACATTTTATCCAATAAAAATATGCTGAATTAAAACAAAATCCCAGCATAATTTTCTGCCTGTGGTCACAGATCAGTCATACACATGTAAGTATCTCCAAGCAGAAAGAGAAAGAAGACAACTGTGTTTAAACCCAGTTTAAACCCATTATGCCCAGTTGATATTCAGAAGCATGTTATTTTTTCAATGGAGTTTCTGTTAACCACCATAAGGTTAACTGATAAACCTTTATGAATTTGACTATAAAAGCAATGCTCCCCATATTTCCTAGTAAACATTTATATAAACATTTGTGAAATTAAAACTGGAATTGCTGTATGTAGAAACACTTGTGGTTTGGATTTTAGAAATATCCCATATTGGTGGGATGACAATCCTAGTTAATATTTTTGAGTTGAAAAGGAAACTTTCTCCCTGTATTCCTATTTTGTTATTCAGGAAGTTCTATAACTGAATCTCTAAATAGATATATAGAGAGAGGAGAGAAGAACTATAACTTTTTTATAGAAAAAAAAAAGGATACCAGTGAAAAGGTTTCAAAGGTTTTGTTTTACTTTGTGATTTTCTAGCTGGTGTCCATTCTAAGAGAAGTGAGCTACCTTGGAGAAGATCAGATTGGGAAGATCCCAGAAACAGCAGCAGAATTATATTCTTCTAGGGACTCCTTCAGGCAATTAGTGGCCAACTTGGATTTAATGGCTACTTGGTACAACAAAACATTGTGCACTGTCCTGGAGGTGGAATATCCACTCATCGAAAGTCAGCTGCATGAAATTGATATTCAGCTGAAAGAAGCAGAAGAAACATTAAATTGGAAAACAAAAGGTAAGCTCCGCTTGTAGGCTCACATGTGGTAGGAATGAAGCGATTTTCGATCTTTCAGCCAAGCTGGGTCTTCAGAAAGCTCTCCTTACCCACCGTTTCTCCTCGGTTGATGAATGTGGACATTACCAAACTGAGTGAAAAAATACTCGTGTTCTATTTTTTTTCCTGGTGTCATGTATGCACTGCAGTCATCTGGTGCCTACAGTGCTATGACCATTTCAACCCAGTATAAAAGGTGAATTTAGCTTGAATATTGGGGGCATTTATTTTCCACTTTTAATAGTCAGGGAACCCGACTCTTTGGCATTTGAAACGAACCCAAGAGCATAAAAAGAGAAGAAATAATGAAGAGATATCTGGAGGATGGGAAGTCATGCTGATGTTGATTCATTTCTGAGTGGCTGGAATAGATGGGTGAGATTCTCTTCCAAAAATGTAAAAAATAGTAACGGTAGTTGACATTAAATGTTGAAGATTGCATAAAAATCAGAGTTGTGTTTTTGGCCTTCTGTATTAGATTATTTTTGCTTTGGCAAAATCACACTGTAGTCATGCAAAGGCTATATTTATGTAGAGAAAAACAGCTCATGTTCGGTAACATTTTCTCGCAATTCGTTTGTTTCCAAAGGGAACGCCATCTGGCCTTTCAGTAAGAGCACAGCAAGAAATGATTTCCCCCCTCAGTTTTATAGATTGGATGACTTGTCATTGTTAGCTTCTTAAAATGTTCTCCATTGTTGCTTTTATCGGAAGGCCTTTGGGATCGCATTTCACACATGGTTAACAGTGTTCGAAATCTTGAGCAAACGATCCAGAAAACCAAAGACAACATCGAGGAAATTCAGAATATTATGAAATCTTGGGTCTTTCCAGTTTTTGAAAGAAAAGATGGGAAAAAAGAATCTTTGCTGTACTTGGATAATCATCTTGAGCGACTGAACAAACACTATCAGCTCATTACGGATTCAGGCCATAAGATTCATTTTCTGATTAAGGTATGGTACTGCATATATGGACATAACTAATCTGTTAGAAAGAGTCATCTGCAAGTATTTGTTCCCATGACTACAAGTATTAGTTATATACATGAAATGACTCATCCATGCTCTCACTTTAATATGCATTTATATTAACATTAATATAGTGCCAGGTCAGAAACTGGTAGCTGCTTTCATCATATATACCTGTTCGCATTTAGAACAGTTTGGGAAATAAACCACACCTACAAATCAAGATGTCTCTGATTAAATAGAAAGATTCTGAAACTGTATCTGGTATAGATGTTTCATTATTCTTTGTAGATTGATTTTATTGCATGTATTCACAACAAAACAAAATATATAAAATATTGAAGTACAAAAAACTACTAAAAATATAAATTTAGAAGAGACAACAAAAAGTCATACTACTCAGAATGAAGAGGGGAGAAAAGCTAGTAAATACTTTTTGTATTCCCCTCTTTTTTGTGCATAATCTCTTTTTGGTGAATTAGTCTCATTTTAAGACTATGAAAAACTTATTTAATATTCTTTAAAATCCAAGACTGACTTGTTAACATTTTATTTTATTATTTTATTGCCGGAATTTATAAGTTACCTGACTCCAATTCTTTATTCCATATTTCTTGTAAATTGTCAAAATATATCTTAGTAAGATTCCTCAATTGTCAATTGAGATTGTTGGTTGAGCCTCCCAAATACTTCTTCAATTATATTCAGAATTGTAGGGGTTGCCAAAATTGCCAAAACATTAGGCCCTTGTTGGGAAAAGATCAATTAAAAACATTAAGGTAGGTTTTAGGCAATGTTATTCTTTCTACCATCCTCAAAAGTCTTCAAGGCATTATTACTAATAATCAGATATAAAATATCACATCCTTTTTGAGGCAAACATAAAGCAAAAACATTTTCTTCACTATTGTTAAATATGAATCATTCCAGAAAATCAACTCAAATAGAACCTTTATTATGGTCAAGGACCAGCATAATTCAGAGATCAACTAATTAAGAGAACAAAGGTCAAACTTAAAATCCTCTTCTCACAAACATCCAAATATGTCTTGCTGCCATGTTTGGAAGATAATAATTCTAAATAATATTGAACCAGGTTTTCAAAGGATAGTCAGTAGATGCGCTGGAAAGATGCTGGTGGCATGATGGCAAAATATTCATAGGAAGAAGATCTGAGATCCACTTAACATCTTCAGATAAAAGATTAGGCAGCAAGTGATAAAAGGATGTACTGAAATATTTGAGCATTGGTATTAGGCACAGTTAGTGATGATCTGGACTAATAGTTCCTATTCTTTCCTTTATGCAAACTGAAGCATCATTCTCAAACACTTTTCAGGCCACTAAATGTGGTACTTGCAGGCTCCATAGGACATAGGATATCTACAGTCACACCAGAATGTATGATTCCCTCAAGTGATATTTGCTAGATTAAAATAAATATATTGAAAAAGTAAAAGGGAATACAAGGTAGTACTGTTTCTACCTTTCCAATTAGTGCTGAGACAAGTTCAAAGCACATGACTTTTGATTATGATTTCTTTATATTTAGGAAAATTTAAGACTCTTCGAAGCAGATCCATCTTCTGATGTATGGAAAGCTTATTTGGAGCATATAGATGAAATCATTCTGGATGGATTCTTTAATGTCATTGAATGTTCCCTTAAATATCTTTTGGAAAATACAGGTGAATTTGTCCTTCTAGATCAAACTCGTTTCTGATTTTTTGGGGGGTGGTTATTTCATTATTGTTCTTTCTATTATGAACATAATAGAGGCAGAGAGAATATTGGAACTTCATGTTCTAATCCAGATGAAGTGTGCAGAATTAGGATTACAAGAGATCTGGGCTGTGATAACAAGATTTATCCCCTTTGTAGCTGGATTTATTTTGTTGTGATTAGAAATAAGAGTTTAAAGTCAAAGGTATGTTTTCCCTCCACAAAATTATGCCGATGTCTATGTCTATTCATTTAATGCAGTGTAGAGGACATGGAGAAATGGCCTTGGAGAATAGGAGAAAAATCTGCTACCAAAGCAATGGTGAGATAAGCGGGTCTTCAGCCTGGGCCAAGAAACTAGCTTGGAAAGCATCTCAGACAAGGCTTGTCCTAGTTTCCATGAAGATAAAGTGAACATTCAGACTTCTGTTACTATGGCTGTTACAATAAAAGTAGTCCTGATTTACATTGCCTTGTGGACCATAGACCTTGTACCAGTTGACCTTGTACTGCTGACATGCTGCTTGCTTCATCTGTGTTAGGCTACAGTTCCTAGATTTTATAGCCAGCACAGCCTTTGGTTGGACTGACTGAGAACACTAAAAACAGTAATCCAGGTTATCTGAAGTGTGCCAAACTGTAGAAAGTGGTAGTAGTGTTTCACTGCAGAGGTGGGAAGGAACTGTTAGCAGACCAATTACATTTGCCTTCTTATCCAACAGATTCCAACGCAGGCCATGCTCCTCTTTTCAAAGTGCAGCTGGAGTTGTCTGTCCCTGAGATAATATTTCGTCCTTCTCTGGATGCTGGTGCCAGCGATGGTTTCTATGATATCATTGAAGGGCTTGTCAATAAGATCTACCGGGTCTCTTCCCTCGTACCAAGGCTTGCAGATCACTGCACATTTCCTCATTATCAGGTTTGATCCTTGGTGGCCATAATCCTATATTATATGTGAATCTATGCCTCCACTCTTCTGTTTAGTTCAGGGTTGTATTTCTGTCTCTGGACAGGCTGACATGGAGGAGATGTCTGACCTTACTGACATGCGCCAAAGCTTAATGGGCCGTGTCCAGAAGATGATCTCAGCTTGTTGTGACTATCGCAAGTCCTTTGACCATTACTCCTATCTCTATGTGGATGACAGAAAGGAATTCTTACGTCAGTTCCTCTTATATGGCCACGTTCTCACTGCAGAGGAGATAGAAGTCCATGCAGAGGAAGGAGTCCCAGAAACCCCTCCAACACTTCAGCAGTTCAGAGGGCAAATAGACTCTTATGAGAAGGTCTATGAAGAAGTGAGCCACCTGGAACCAGTATGTGTGCTTGACAGCTGGATGAAAGTGGATGCCCGTCCCTTCAAAGCATCTCTTCTGGGTGTAATTAAAAAATGGAGTTTCATGTTCAAGCAACATCTCATTGATTACGTGACTCACAGGTACCACTATTTTTCTTGCTCTTCTTGAATTTCTTGTGTTAAGTAGAAAATGTGGTAAAAAATAGAATGGATAAACATCTAGACCCAAAGTTTCTTTTTTGTGGCACTCCAGGGTACATCAACACAATTTTTAAATCACTGGCATTGTGGTTTCCCTCTTTTTTCAGATAGGAAACAAGTAGGTTCAGTAGATACAAATTGTATGAAAGAATGGTGGCATTTATGAAAAAGTCCAATAATTCATTCAATAGCTTGTAGTTTGGTCTATTTTCTCTCATTGTAACACCAGCTGCTTATTCATGCTTATGTTACAAAACTTGACCCAGGAGAGATCAGTTTGATGTTCTGTGAATCACAGTGTTTATCTTCGTCAGGATCCTGTTGAACGTCATTTTTCTGGAACTCAGTTTAAAATTACCATACATGTAATGTTCTCAATCAGACTTCTTTAATTCACCGCCATTTTTCATTTGTCTGTTTTTAAAAATGTCCTTGAATTCCTTCAAACCAGCTCTTCTATTCCCACATGGAATGACCTGTGTTTATTTGTTTGGCTTTGAGTCAGCTTCAGATCTTACTTCAGTGAACTTTTACATGAGCATTGTACATATAGCAAATGCTTATTTGCTGGAGTGATTGGGGGAAATTAAAATTCACATATGATTGGAACAATTAGTACAATTAATACCCACACTAACAAATAATGAGAAGAATTAGTTCAGGCAATTACAATGACTACAATTCCAAAGATATATACACAAGGAAAAAGAAACTACGAGGAAACAATTATACATTTTCCAAAGGGGGAAAACTGTTTAATTAGCATGACCAATGCCTAATACACGGGCAGCATGCTGATTCTAAATATTCTAAATATTAAAAGGTTTTAATTTCACCAAAAATAAAGAAGGGAATATAACATGTACTAATTATGGGTTGGAAGATTTTATTAAGGAAACATCAGAGACTGATGTGCAGGTTGTGCAGACTAGGGAATGTTTTATTAGTGGTAAAATTGAAAAGTTAAATAGAAAAGTAGAACAGTATCAGTTGATTATTACTTTTCTCAAAGAAAAGAATTTATTTCCAAGTTGCTGTAAACAGTAGATAGTAATAGTAGACTGGAACTGATGCATACAAACTACCTTTAGATCAAGATAGGAAAGTTCAAATCTTTGGGATTGATTAGCCATTGTTTGTCACAGCTTTGCAGGTCCTTCACCTCCAGAATCACAGTAATTACTAAGTGCTACTATGCACTTAACTGAATCTCATATTTTCTAAACTATGCCAGCTGGAGCTCTTCCGAAAGTTAGGTCTGATTATGGAAATTGTAATCTTACTCTGTAATCTAATGATCTGGGGAGCGTTAGCTTGATGGATTCTTTGCTAGTTTTTCTTTCTTTTTTTCTTTCTTGTAATTGCCTTATCCTATGCATAATTTCATGATCTGAAGGGATAAGCAATGTCACCATTAAATGTCTTCAATGCTGGTTTAAAGTCCCTTCTATTTTTGTGTACTCCCATGGTTATGCTTTAAATGTCATGACTAATTGTTCCAGCAAAACAATAATCAAATGACAATGACTGAATCCTTGTTGAAGGGATTACAGTACAGCAATCTCTGTGAGGTCTTGTGGGATATAGCTGGAAATATTATGCCATAATTGTAGTTTATTCTTGGAGAATGTGAGGGACACTAATTATATTTCCAAATTATGAGCATAGAATCATAAAAAAATATATGAAATGAGAATGCCTGATTATTCCCAAGAGAAGATCATGTCATAGTTTTTCAAGTAATGAGGAACTACAGGAGTTCTGTAGACTTACTGGCAATTTGTCCTACTTATATTAACATTGAATACATACATTTAACATGTTCTGGATTTCAGCTTTCTTCAAGAGTGGAGAAGATTGAGCCCAAAGAATATTACAAGCAGTTGCCCATTTCTTTTAGGGAAAAAAATAAACATATCAAATATATTTTCTAAAAATGGGATCTTTTTTTCTGAGTAGAAGAGATTCATTTTGTCAAATCAATTATTTACAGTTTGTTCAGTGCAAAAAAAGAAGAAGCTCAAGCTGCTATTCTTTCTTTAGAATGGGAAAAGAACCATATAGTCCTTTTGTGTCCATATGGTTTAAAGAGAGAACTATTTGCTGCTGTGGCTTTCCAGCAGAGGGCATTTCATGATGTATTACCTCTGAATTGGAGGCTGGGACTCCACCTCTATAGCCTGGCTAAGGGCTGTTGAGCTGACAGCCAAAAAAAGAAGATCACGTATAACAGTGATGGCTAAGCTTTTCGGCACTGAGTGCCCAAAGCACACACACACACACACACACACATCAGCCAAATGCAATGGCTCCTGCCTCTGCGCATGCATGCAAATCCCCCACATATTCAGCCCACCCCTGTGCATGTGCGCACGCCCCCGCTCATGCATCCTGCCCCCAGAGCACGAGCAGCAGAGACCCAAAGACCAGATGGCTGGTGGGAGGTGAGCATGTATGTGCAGTGGAGCTGAGCTGGGACGACAGCTCTCATGCCCAGAGAGTGGGGCTCTGCATGCCACCTCTGGTGCATAGGTGCCATAGGTTCGCCATCATGGATATATAGCTTTTAAAGTTATGTTTAGATGGCATAACAGAGACCACTTACCATTAGAAAACTAGTTCTCACATACCTTACTAAAAGGGTATATCAAGTTTCCTGGATCCATCTCTCCATTACAAATGAAATTTGAATTCAGATTTATTTCAGGGCCAATCCATATTTAGGACTAGCCTCATGGCTGATAGACAGTCTGCTGTTGGTGGGAGCATACATTTCTCAAACGATTCATGGGCATGCCTAGTATCTATAGATACTAGATAATAGAAAGACTAGGGGAGACATAGTAGTGTTCCAATATCTCAGGGGTTGCCACAAAGAAGAGGGAGTCAAACTATTTTCCAAGGCACCTGAGGGTAGAAGAAGAAGCAATGGGTGGAAACTAATCAAGGAGAGAAGCAACTTAGAACTGAGGAGAAATTTCCCACAATTAATCAGTGGAACAGCTTGCCTGCAGAAATTGTGAATGCCCCAACACTGGAAGTCTTTAAGAAGATGTTGGATAGCC